CCACCACTTCTGCTCTAATTCTCTCGTAGAAAGTCATGAATCTAACTCCCCTAGAACCCTTTCCTTATGCCATATATCTTTACCGGACAAAATCCGAAGATAGACTAAGAAAAGAATATTGAGAATAGATGCAAGTTATTCTCTTTCTATGGCCAAGTAGCGACATCATGGCCTGTTAACAAACAGAAACAAGCATATTAATTTCTCTTTGTATTTCTGGCATGAAGAATTATCATTGTTTATATTACTTACTGTCTGACTAATGTCTTCATCAATGTTGTTATTATCACAACGTTTCGGTTACTATTCCGGCCTTCTTCAGGCGTCTGTCGATCCGGACAACCTTCAAGGAATTTCAAACTGAAACCATTATTTAAGGGACATAATATTCTCTTTCGGTTGTTTATGTATGGGGGTATCTCGTTTTGTTCTTTTTTCTTTGGAGGGTGAGGGGGCTGCACAGTCTTTGCTAGTCCTGTTTTCACTGAGTCTACGTCAAGCTTGACAGCAAGATTTGAGCAGCAACAATAGAAGGAGAGACTGCAACAGATGGAGCCAAGATTGACAGAAAGTCTGCAGAAGCAACAGTAGAAGGAGTGACAGTTGGGGAAGGCAACAGTAGAGTAGACAATAAGAGCATTAGATTTTGTGGATCCAAGTCAGAAGCCTGAAGATTTAAAGCTTTGGTTCGGGAAATTGATGCCATAGAAATTGCAAATTCAATCCCGACTCAGAAAGTTAAGTGGTTCTACAGACAGATGCTAGGAATAATACCATGGATGCGAACTTAAAGAAAATGGGAACTAGAAGGACACGTATACTTACAATCAGGACGAGAGGACTGAAGTTTGTGGAACACGTTATGAGAGCTTGGAAATTTTGATACTCACAGGTTATACTGAAAGAATGAGAACCAGAGGGAAACAGCCAGTAACCTGCATAACGAGTTTGCGTTATTGGATGACAGAGCGAGATAAATATGGATGGAAAAGTTTCAAATGATGTTTAGAACAACATCAAGTAAGAAGTAGTGGAAAGGCATGATCGTCGAACTTCTAAAGGAGGAGAACACATAAAAGAAGTAGTGGTCTTCTCATTGTGGAGACTCTTTCTTCTCACTTTAAAAATCAGCAATAAAAGTCCTGAATCGTAAGCAGACCACTGGTAGCGATAGAATATACAGAATCAATTACCTCACTAATAGGGCTTATGTTTTCTCTCTGTTGATATTTGCTTAGATTACTTTAAATGTAGTAGTAGGAGTAGTAGTAGTAGTAGTAGTTGTAGTAGTAGTTCTATATACAGCAATGATAATCATCGTCGGCCCTCGCTCGTATCCGTGCATGGAGAGCGTCATCTTCTCTCCTTATTCCCGTTCTCTCCCCCACCCCCTCTGGTGGCGATTGCGGAGATTTCTGTAAAGGCCCAGCCTATTCCTGAAGATTCGTAGGCATTAGAATCACAGAGGAGTGTGGGTGGTGAACGGGGCTGGATGGGTTGTGCCGTCCTTACAGCACGTCGCAGACCCACTCCATGTTGTGGGTTGGACACGAAAATTTCGGTCCTTTCTCGGGTGGTCCTAAGCCAAGAAGGCCGATTTGCAGCAACCGTTTCCCAGGTCTTAGTGTTGATGTTGGCCTGTCAGGGATGTTTTCAACTGATCCTTGAAGCGACGTTTTGGGCCTCTACGCAGCTTCTTGCTGCTGGCGAGCTCTCCAACAGGCTGATACGTGGGAGTCATTCTGGACACATGACTCATTCAACGATGTTGAAGGATAATATGTTCGATGCTGGGGAGAACGGTTCCAGCAAACGAGGCTCCGAAGAATTCTTCGTATCAGTTGGGAGGATGGCATCACGAACAACGGTCCTCTCTATTACTAATGGAACTAACGGCAATAAAAACTCTATCCATTAGCAATAATGACATAAACAACGGAATGTGATCTGGAGACACTGTAGCGACGAGTAAATTAGGAGTGCATTTTATATGGCTTAGAAAATCCCTTAATAGGACACAGATCTTTGACAATCGTGCATAGACATCTCGAAATGACAGACATGCCAGTCTGTTCTCTAACTGCAAATTACTAACCATTAATGCTTGCTATTATAAACATATTTATATGTTCACTTTACTTCATTAGTTAGACTTACTTTCCACAAGCCATTAAAATCTAAGTATTTTTCGAGAGGGGTCGTTATTTTTGTTGTCAGTGAAGCGAGAATGAGTCCGGCTGTCAGTATTTTCATTTTATCATTCCTCTCTTGTTTTTCATATCATTCTGAGTGGCGTATCATTATTTGCAGTGAGAACAGTGTGAATACAACGGTAGTAGCTCAGAATTTCGAAAGACAAAGTGTCGAAAGACAAAATAACGAATGGACAAAATGTCGAAGAGACAAAGTGTCGAACGGAAAAAGAGTAGAACTGACTAACGAATGGACATAATGTCAAAAAAACAAAAAGTTTCAAAAGGACAAAATGTTGAACAAAGTAAAAACGAACATATCGTCTTGATTTTAAAAAAACCGGTTCAAATAATCAATTAAGCTATTCTTAACTTTTTATTACGTAACTTTAGCATCATTTAACAAATAATAGCCTTAAAAGTGGTTAAGCCTCGATAATCATCGTTAAAAAAGTTATTCTATTGTATGAAAATTTCTGGTCTTTCGTCACTTAGTTCGACTCTTTTTTCGTTCGACACATTGTTCATTCAACACATTAGACCGATCGATACTTAGTCCGTTCGATACTTTGGCTGTGTCGACGATCATATATATATATATATATATATATATATATGTGTGTGTATGTGTGTATGTGTATGTGTGTATATATATATATATATATTGCGTATATTTTGGCAGCATATTTTCATTAAAATATGTGTCATTGAAAAATTTAGACGAGTTTTGTCTACTTAATAGGAACCTCTCGTAATTGCGGACAAGTTTCTTAGTATCCTCATTAAAGAAAGAAAGAAAATTACCATGTTGATGTATATTCATTTTATTCCGAGCACTTTCGACATTGGCACAACGTCGTCATCAGGGTCTTGTTTTTCTAAGACAAAAAATTGTTGTGTTCTTCTAAAAATTAATTTTTACTTTTGATGTGAAAAACACTAAGGTTATATATACTGTACAATTTTTTTTAATTTTATCAAACGTCAAGGGAGCAAACTAAGTTATTGAAATGTCTAAATCTTTGAACAAAAACTATTTAAAACTATTAGTTAAAACCTAGATATTTTAAACTATCTACTGTAAAAACATTTTAAAATCTGTGCACTATTCATAATTAATTTTATTAAGGGTTTAATATAGATAACTTCGTTTAATTTTCAGATGATTACAACAATTTTGTCTTAGAAAAATGATGAGCACAATAAATTTTGTTTTAGAAAAAATAAGATCATAATGATGACATTGTGTTAATGCCAAAAATACTCAGAATAAAATAATTATGCATCGACATGGTAATTTTCTTTTTTCCTTTAATAAGGATACTAAGAAACTTGTTCGTAATTACGAGAGGATCTTATTAAAAATAAGTAGATAAAACTTGTCTAAATTATTTAATGAGATATGTCTTTATATATATATATATATATATATATATATATATATATATATATATATGCACGACACAAACTTTCCCTTACGCTCACTCTAAATATATATGCTAATGTGTGTGTGGGAGAGAGAGAAAGAAAGAGAGAGAAAAAAAATAGTGTGTTTGCGTTTGTACGTGGGTGTGAGAGAGAGAGTGTATGTTTGTGTGGGGGGGTGTATGTTTGCGCGTGTATATGAAGGAATATTTCTCTAAATTGTAGATAAGTAACAAAGTATATAAATACAAACTGAAACAGGCAACTCAATTTCGCATTATGACCGGAACCGAACTGTCCTGGGAAAAGGCATGAAACCACTTCTTCGTGTTCTTCGATCTCTCATAACCAGCTCTACACCCAGTCAATGGAAACACTCGCCAAATAGTAAATTAATAACTGCTACCCCCACTTTCAACCTTGATATTGGCTAGTCACGTTCTCTTTCTCTCTCTCTCTCTCTCTCTCTCTCTCTATCTATCTATCTCTCTGTTGCACACAAATGTACACACATTTGTGTATGTGTGTAAGTGCGTGCATTTGTGTTTTTACCCTCACGTCATCCATTGTAAATAGACTAATTCAATATGGTTCCAAGCACAGGTATTTGTCATTAAAAAGGTTTTTCGCAAAAGAAATCGATCTGACAGTAGATTACGAATCTCAGTGTTATACATAATAATTTCCGATAGAGAAAGACAGAACGAATATTGTTGTGAGGCCTCAGGTAGAATGAATTTAATTAAATTAAAAATTCGCTTCGTTCTGTTTTATTCTATTATTCCTGCTCGTCAGAGAGAAAAAAATTCACGCGTATCGAAGAAGCGAACAAAATTGCGTAGGATTTCTTTATGTTCTTTGCAAATACTTATTTTCATTTCCATTGAATTGTTGCTTTTTTTCGTTGCTGGAAAGAATTCAATCTGATTGTTGATTTTAATCTTGCAAACAAGCGAGGCCACCAATTACTTCAAAAATCAAATATGGAAATTATTTTTTAACTAGATGCACACAAAACACACACACACACACACACACACACATATATATATATATATATATATATATATATATATATATATATATATATATATATATAAAATATTGAAATTGAAATTTATAGGATTTTTCTTTAATCTGTATGTTCATTATTTGAAGTCGAATTCTTTTTTAGTTACTGTAACATGACCAGCAATATCGGGAATAAAAACGTCTAACGGAGAAAATGAGAATGAAAACGTTTTAACGTCTTGGGAAGAATTTATTTTACAAAAAGACAATTGAAAAATTACGAAGAGGAAAATGTGTTAGAGGCATAAGCTAAAGATAGGCTGAAAAAATTAAAGAAAAAAGAGATGATGTGAAAACTAACAAAAATCATACAAAGCGAAGAAAGAAAGAAAGAAAGAAAGAAAAGAAAGAAAGAAGAAAGAAAAAGAAAGAAAGAAAGAAAAAAGTTGTTCAGTTTAATATGATGGTTAACGAGCTGTAAGCGTTTTGCTAGATCATTAAGAAAGAAAGAAAGAAAGAAAGAAAGAAAGAAAGAAAGAAAGAAAGAAAGAAAGAAAGAAAGAAAGAAAGAAAAACGTCGTTCAGGTTAATATGATGGTTAACATGTAAGCGCTTTACCAGATTGTTAATAAAGAAAGAAAGAAAGAAAGAAAGAAAGAAAGAAAGAAAGAAAGAAAGAAAAAAATAAAGAAAGAAAGAAAAAAGGAAAATAAGTCGTTCAGTTTAATATGACGGTTATAAACTATAAGCGTTTTACCAGATCATTAATAAAGAAAGAAAGAAGAAAGAAAAAGTCGTTCAGTTTACTATGATGGTTAACGAGCTGTAAGCGTTTTACTAGATCATTAACAAAGAAAGAAAGAAAGAAAGGAAAATAAGTTGTTCAGTTTAATATGATGGTTAACAACTATAAGTGTTTTACCAGAACATTAATTAGTGTTGTAAGGACGAATCTCGCAGATATTCCGCTAAGCTTTAACGAATTCGATCCACACCGAGTGTAATGAAATAGAGTGTGCATTTACGAATAAGACGAGAATCAATTAGCCAAGAAATGCTTTGCGCGCGCAGCCTCACGCCCGTGGTCCAAAACATAGGCCATCCATGTTCGTCTTCGATATCCGAAAGAAAAACTGCTTAACTTCTCTCTGGGTGGGTGCTTATATATCTGTCACTCTCATATGACTCACACCCAAACCAATTCGACAGTGTAGGAATTTCAGTCCTTACTATTCATTTTAGTTGATGTAGTTCGTCTGTTGTAGAATGATCCATCATCCCCCCCAGCTCTGGGTTAAATAGTAGAACTTTTATTAAAAGCATGAGTCACTCGCCAAAAAATAAAATTATTCTTACAATAAAAAAACTGTTTCAGTTTTAAATAACCTACAACGAACAGATAAGTCGTAAAAAAAAACAAATCAACAATGGCGTGGAGTAACGGTTAACGAGCCACTCTACCTAGATCCCTTCAACACTGCTCTAATCTTGTTCTCCTGTTCTAGACTAGGCTTAATTTTGTAGCTTTCTAAGGCACCGCCCATAAAATGATGTTTAGAAAACTAGTCTTAATAGGTGATCTTCTCTTTATTCTCTGGAGGTTGGTTCCACAAGACAGAGGTTCGCGGGAAGAAGCTGTTCGAGTGGAACTTACTTCTCGCCAATGGAGCAGGGAGTGAATATGGGTGGTTGGCTACAGCACAAACGGCATGGCCGGTCCTCGTCGTAAAGGTTAGAATTGGTGGATTCAAGGAATGTAGTTCTCCGATCACTTTTCATGGTAATAGGGATAGAGCAGTGAGAGTCGCCACATCCCGCTTGTGAGAGAGAGGTTTGAGAGTGTAAAATAATTTGTCACCCACAAGAACTCGCGCACAAAGGGTTGATAAGCCGTAATGCGCGTGCGCGCACACACACACACATAGATAGATAGATAGATAGATAGATAGATAGATAGATAGATAGATAGATAGATAGATAGATAGATAGATGGCTTGGTGGAGTAGTGAATAGCGGCTCGGATTTGAGGAATCAGAGAGTTCGAATTCCAGTCGAATACGTTACATTCACTTACATGCTAATACCCTTGGGAAAGGTATTAATCCTCTTCCTCTGGGCAAATAGCAGGACAGACTGGATTCTATAGCCCTGGATGGCAACTGATCTAGGAGAAGGACAACTCTGAATTCAAAGCCTGCGGAGGGTCGCTTGTGCACCGGATCTCTGTATTCGGCCCTTCAAAAAGTGTGGTTGGTTCTGCATAAAGCCTTCATCATTATAAGTAAATCATATGTGCTGGTTTCGGTTCCTAGGAACTGAACTGCTTGACCCTTTATACGAATACGAAGGGAGAGTCCATCACTATATATATATATATATATATATATATATATATATATATATATATATATATATATAGTAAGTCTGTCTGTATGCCAACAGTGAAAAAAACAATTAGTTGAACTGTGATGTAACATCAGTCCTCCTATATGTCAATGAATGCTAGACAATCTCCTTACATACGAAGAAGTGAGTTGAAGCGACAGAAATATGGTTCTACAGAAAGATGCTGAGAATATCATGACGGAACATGTGATCAAGGACGAAGAGAAGATGGAACCGAAAAGACACATATACTTAACTTAGGAGCCATGATCGCCAACATCCTGAAGGGTAACGACACATCTGTATGTCCCATGAGTGTTGAATTTTTCAAGCCCTTTTTCTTATAATGCGTACAAGTAATTTCAATTCTCACTTCACTGCCAACAACACTGAACTTAAACATTGCTACATATTTAAAATTGTTTACTGATTCTGTTGATAAATAATATTTAAAATATGTTTAAATAATTGTATGGAAAATGGTAACAAAAAAGACGCTAATGTTTAGAATAAGACAGAGTAGAAATTTCTAAGATACATAATAAGGAAAGAAGGTTTGGAAAATTTGACACTCACAAAGACAAGGGGGTTGCATTTGGAGGCCATTTGTGTGCATAGGATTGGAAGACAACGGTTAACCCCAACCTTGAACAGATTGTAGTGATCGGGGAAACATCCTGTTGGGTGTCGGTTCCACAGGGCAGTTGCTCGCAAAAAAATCACGTAAAAAATTGTCGAAAACAATCGCAGTAATGAAAACTTGGAAATCCAAAATCTCAGGATTGCGTCTTAAGATCCGACCCGAAATGTTTTTTTATTTGCTCATGGAGTCGACCTGATTCCAAAATGCTATGCTATGATATGTTGGCCTCTAGGGGTAAAGTTGAAAAAGAGTGACACAGTGACACACTGACATTCGCATTTATTATATAGATGACAGAGTCGAGATAAAAAGGAAAGAAGGTCTACAAAAACTGACACTCACAAAGACAAGAGGGACAACGTGAATGGAGGGGGGAGATTGTAAAAAAATCAATATTGCTAAGACCTACATAGAATACGAAGCGCGGAAAACCATGGTCGCCCACATCCTGTAGGGACAAGGTACGTAGAAAAAGAAGAAGTATTAAAAATGAAGATGAGGAATTAGTATTTATTTTTCAACATATTTACTAGCTTTATTATTCAATATTTTCCTTGGCAATGCACTTAATTCAGTGTGTACATTATGCTGATGAAATTTAAGCAATAAGTTTGTGAAATGACGTAAGCACTCTTCTCTTATGATCATGTGTCAGTTTAAGTTACTCTAAACGAGAATAAAGTCAGAATGAAAAAAGTGGGGTGGTAAGAAAGAAATGGAAACGACTTGATTCTTCCATTTTTATGTAAATTGTCTTCTTGTCAACTATTATAAATAGACTAATTTAATATTGTTTCAGGCAAAGGTATTAGTTTTTAAAAAGACTGTTTACTAATTCTGAATTGCGGTGAGGATTGTTTATACATAATCGTCTTAGCCGAATAAAACAATAAACTATTTGCTAAAAGCCTTAGGCAATGGCAGCATAGTGAATTCAATTATCAACATTTCGAAAGACAAATCGAAAGAAACAATTTATCATAAACATGAACCGTGCGAGCTAAATTGAAACTATTCGTGTATACAAGAACGCTCAGGATGAGAAAAAGACTGAAAATAAAATGGTCTGTGACTAAAAACAGACGACAATAGAAATCGCAAGGAAATCATAAGGTGGAGACAAACACAACTTAAAAACGGACTTTGTGAAAAACTCAATTCACACCAGAAAATGGTCTTTATCTTCAAAAGAAAAAAGAAACGTTCTCTTCGACAATACTTTTTTAAAATTTTAATATTGTTCTTCAAAAATTAAAATCAATTTTCCAGTCTTTCATTGGCCAATCTTAAAATGTTCATGCTTAAACATAACATCTACAATGGCTATTGCTCGATAGTACCGTATTCATGGTATATATGTTTGTTTTATAAGCGTAGCTTTGATGTGGCACAAGGAAATTGTATGTAAAATGAAAAACATTAAGACGCTTATGTTTAGAGCTAGCTTAAAAGCAGCTCTATCGGGTGGCACTCCTGTAAAGAGCATTTCATTGGTCCTTCATCACAATTAGATGCGATAGGCAACAATAAACTACAGAAGAATTCATAATTGATCGCTGAATTTAAGTATTGCATTAATATTTAAGGTTACTTTTTAAAAGTTCAACGATAATTCTTCTGCCGTTACTGAATTTAAAGACAATTTGATGTACGTAGGTCCTTACTTTCCGTGAAAACAATTATTATTATTTCATGGGTGACTTTCGCTGGATTTTAATTATTCCCAAATTTATTTCCAAGTTATAAAAATTATCGTACAAAAATATTGTCGCAAAAAAATCACGTCAAAAAATCGTTGAAAACAATCACAGTAATTTTTGGGAATGGGAAATGTCAGGATTGCGGTTCTGAATCCGGGCCCGGAATGTTTTTACTTTTGCTCGGCCTGATTCCAAAATGGTATGATATGCTGGACTACGGCCTCTAGGAATAAAATTGAAAAAGTCTCACAAGGAATAAAATGACCGAAGAGGTGTGTGTACCGAGTGATAGGTAAACCTATCTAATCCTATCGTGTGTAATTCCATGTTAATATTTTTTACTCGAATGACATTATTATTAGTAGTAGTAGTAGTAGTAGTAGTAGTGTGTAGTAGTAGTAGTAGTAGTAGTACCCGTGAAAATTTCACGGTTTTTCTATTTGCTAATGAATCGTAATTCTCAAGTTAATGATTCTTTTTACGAGTTCTACGACAATAAAATACCCGTTCAATTTTCCTTATTTCATCGTTAAATATTTGAGCTTAAAAACTTTAACAAAATATTGTAATAAGCGTTATAAATATGAATGTAGGTCATTATTTAAAGAAGTAAGAGGGTACAAATGAAAATATTTAAAATTGACAAGTTTTTATTCCACTGAAGCATATGTTAAAGACATAAGAATGTTATCTCAACCCCATCTCTCTCTCTCTCTCTCTCTCTCTCTCTCTCTCTCTCTCTCTCTTTTTGTTTACCTTTTTTTGTTTACCTTCCTTTCCCTAAAAATAAACAGTGCCTTTGATATATCTTTTCTTCCTTTTTGTGGGTAGGGGACAGGCAACCTGTTAAAGGTGTTTCTCGCAATCAAACAGGAACGGTTCATTGTTTATCTGGGGTAATGACAGAGCGTAACTAAGGAACTAAGGAGCAAGAAGAACTATATGATTATTGTCTAAAAAAAATTATCATCATCAGTTAAGTGCCGTGTCTCTTCAACGCATGTGCAATCATAGCTCTCCACAGCTTCCTATCGGTTGTTGCTCTAAACAACGTTTGACTCTTTACAACTCTTCTTTGTCCCCGCTTTTGGAATAGTTTAAAAGTTGTCTTCCATTCGTTCCCTCTGTATGTTCCGTGAGTGTTAAATTTTCCAAGCCCTCTTTTCTTATAATGTGTACAAGAAATTTCAACTCTCACTTCACTGATATCAACAGTGGAATAAAACATTACTACACGTTTAAAGTTGTAACTGATTCTATTGAAAAAAGAAGATAGGGAAGATGAAACCGAAAAGCCACATATACTTAACTTAGGAGCCATGATCGCCAACATCCTGAAGGGAAACGGCATATCTGTATGTCCCTCTTTTCTTATAGTGTCTACAAGAAATTGCAATTCTCACTTCACTGACAACAGCAGGGAACATAAACACTGCTACATGATAAACATTGCTACACATTTAAAATTGTAACTGATTCTATTGATAAATAATATTTAAAATATGTTTAAATAATTTTATGGAAAATGGTAACAAAAAAGACGCTAATGTTTAGAATAAGACAGAAATTTCTAAGATGCATAATAAGGAAAGAAGGTTTGGAAAATTTGACACTCACAAAGACAAGAGGGTTGCATTTGGAGGCCATTTGTGCGTATAGGATTGGAAGACAACGGTTAACCCCAACCTTGAACAGATTGTAGTGATCGGGGAAACATCCTGTTGGATGTCAGTTTCACAGGGCAGTGGTTCGCGGGAAGAAGCTGTTCGAGTGGAACTTACTTTTTGTCGATGGAATACTGAAGAAATGTTGGTGGTTTGCTACTATGTAATTGACATGGCGTGTTCTTGCTATGAAGGTTTGCCTCAGTGGAACCACGGAATGTAGTTCGTCCGAGTATTTTCCATGAAAGTTGCAGTAAAGCAGCGAGAAGCTTGCCACATCACGCCTGTGGAAAAGAAGTTGAAGGATTGAAAATAATTCGTCACCCACAAGGGTTCGGAGTCTGGAGAGTGAGGTCGATTATTACTCCATTTTTGGCCTGATCTATCTCTTGTAACGGTAGAGGATAGCAGGAGAATAGGAAGTTATGAAGAGCCATGATCGTCGACGTTCTGAAGGGGCATAGTACATAGAAGAAGGACAAGAAGCAAGAACATTAACACTGCCAACGATAACAACAACAACAAGATATTAAAAATCAATTTCTTTAAATATAATTAATTTCATTTACAGCAATACGACAAAATAGAATATCAAATTGTTATTTTGACGTAACTTTTATTTAGTTTTTCTATTTCAGAAATCTTGAACAAGAAAACAGCGCAACTTCAAATCTTTGCTATTTTACAAGTACAATGCAGTTGTAGAATAACGTTAGAAGTATTGCCAACATTTTTACGACACTAATAATAATAATAATAATAATAATAATAAATTCCTTGGCATGTCTCTGATGGCTTCTGATTTTAACTGATGAGAGGTATTAACAATTACACGTCTTGCCTTAATTAATTAAGATGCGTACAGTCAATATGCCATTCATTACAAGAGGTTTCTTTGTCAGTTTTCAGACTGTAACTAGTTGGGTATATCCCGTGGAGACTGATGCCCTGGGCATCTCATAGTCAGTTCATCGTATCTATCTATCTATCTATCTATCTATCTATTTGTCTATACCATAGTCATCTAATTTCTATACATCTATCTATCTATCTATCTATCTATCTATCTATCTATCTATCTATCTATCTATCTATCTCTACACATCTATCTATTTGTCTGTACCATAGTCATCTAATTTCTATACATCTATCTATCTATCTATCTATCTATCTATCTATCTATCTATCTATCTCTACACACATCTGTCTATTTGTCTATACCATAGTCATCTATCTATCTATATCATAGTTCATTTCTACACATATATCTATTTATCTATAATATAGTTCATTTCTACACATCTATATATGTATGTATGTATGCATGCATGTATGTATCTATCTATATATGCATGTATGTATGCATGTATGTATCTATCTATCTAGTTCAGTTCTATCTATCTATGGAAGTTATGATATGCAACATTATATAATATATTAATATTGAGTAATTAAATATCAAAATGGAATAAAAGCTTCT